GTCCCAGTGCGCACACCGAAACAGCTACAGCTCACCCTCCTGCGGCAGACAACGAATCAGGATCGGGGTCGTTACTGGGCTTGTCTGTCCCATCCCATCTCATCCCATCCTGATCCACGTTCGCTGCTCTGCCCTGTGTCCTGTTACACTGTCGCTAGGTACTGTTGATACCACCACCAAAGATCTGAGGGAGGGAGGTGCTGTTGTCCTTCTGCCACCACCGCACACACTACACCTCACAGGCACCAACATCTAAGAGGCCTGCCCGCTGCCTGCCTGCCTGCCCTGATACTTGGCCTCGCCCCCATCCTCCTCACATTCGGGGCCTTACCACGCCTTTACCTGGCTCATCTCATCTCCAAGGGCGAGGTACCTCGACACCCTGCGCTTACCTGTCGGATTCATACGGTACGGATTACCTGACTGGGACCTGCTGCAGCTCTGCCCTGCCTGCTCCTGGTCCTCTTTTTGGCGCTCCCGCAGCCGCTGTCCACCACCACCACCACCTCCTCCAACATCCTCGCTCACCTGTTTACGCCTACAATACGCCCACACGCCTGCGCATACGCCGCCTTGTGTCGCCTTCGAGTCCTGTGCCTCTCTGACCGGGCCCCCAAAACACTTATTTTACCCAGCGACTTGCCTGCCTGCCTGCCAGAGCCCCCGGGGGCACGTTAATCTCCTGCCATGGGTCGCAAGCATGCACCGCAGCCGCTGACGCTGTCTGAATCTCAGTCCGCCGACCACCAGCCTGAGGACGTTCCGCGCTCTGCTGAAACCCTCGCCTCTACCGTCCCTCCAAGCGCTGGCTCCAAATCGCAATCTTCTCCCAGATCTCCGCGCTCTCCCTTTAGGTTCACTCCGAAAAGACCCAGCACCAGTCGCAAACAGTCTCTACAGCTGGCTGACGAACATCGAAACTTTGACGACGACGACGACGAATTTCAGCAGTATCCGCCCATTTCCTCCGCCCTGCACCGCGCGTCCGAAGACACGCCCCCTCGCCAGCATCATCAGCAACACCCCATCAGCCCCCGTTCTCAGCACCGCCTCGACCATCCCTCCCCTGGCTCCAGCAGCACCAAAGCCTCCAAGGGCGGCTTCTTCTTCAATTTCACCAAGTCGTCCAAATCGTCCCATTCTCTCGCATTTTCATCCTCGCCCGCCCACCACCCCCATCAACAGCAACCCTCGCGCCATAACCACCAGCAGAACCCGAGCCAGAACCCTGACTCGAGAGGCGAAACTATGTCGAGGGGCCCCGACAGTGCTCCCATGAGCACCACCCAACCCACCCAACCTTCAGGTACGAGGATAACTTTCCTTCTTGAGACCGCAGTGTCCCACTGCCTGTGCTGCCGGGGCCCACCACCTGATCCATCCCCCGTTTCGCCTATCGTGAGACCATTTCTTCAGCCGCTAACCCATCTGCCATTTCACCAGCCGACTCGTCCTATGCTGAGAACGCCGTCCAAAAGCCCGCACCCACCTTGCCGTCCAAGTCCGACGTGTCAATCGCCTCCGCTGCCGACTTCGATCCTTCCGCTTCCCAACCCTCTTCGTCGAAGAAGGGCAAGTCGAAGCCCTTCGGTCTCTTGACCCGTAACAAGTCCCTCCGCGACAAGGACCGCGACAAGGACGGCTCAAGCTCTAGGGACAAGCAGCCGAGCCCCGTACCAATAACGATCAGCGAACCCGAGCCGTCGCACATCCCCTCCGACCCTTACAACCCACGCAAGGCGTCAGCGCCAGCGCCTGCAACTGACAGGTCAATCAAGGAAATGGTCAATTCCACGGCGCGGAACCGCTCAGAAGACCGCGGTTCGCCACGAGACATGGGCAACAAAGAAAACCTGAGGGAGAAGGGGAACAAGGAGATTCAGAGAGAAAAGGAGCACCACCCTCGCCAGAATTCCTCTTCGGCAAATGGAGGCTTTTTCGGTGGTTTGAAGAGTGGAAGAGATATGATCAGCAATCGCCTTTTTGGAAAGGGCGGCCGCAGTGGCAGCACGACGGAGAAGGAGCCTGTCATCGACGATGAACACTACCAGCTTAAGACAATCAACCTGCCTCTGGTAGAGCAAACACGACGCACACGTATTTCGAAGCGTTTGGAGGACTCTAGAGACAAGACCGAGTTCTGGATGCCTGCTTTCCCATGGCGCGCAATCGACTATCTGAATTACAAGGGCTGCGATGTCGAGGGCTTGTATCGTGTGCCGGGTAGTGGACCCCAGATCAAGAAGTGGCAGAGGAGATTCGACGAAGGTTTGACGGAAGAATTCACGCAGATATGACCAGCGCACTAACAAGACTTCTAGAATACGACGTCAACTTATTCGAGCAGCCTGACTTGTACGACATCAACATTATCGGTTCCATGCTCAAGGCATGGCTGAGAGAGCTTCCCGATGAGCTGTTCCCGAAGGAGGCGCAGGAACGTGTTGCGAGAGAATGCGCTGGCTACGAAACCGTTCCCCCACTCCTGGTCGAGGAGCTGTCTAACCTATCGCCGTTCAACTACTACCTGCTCTTCGCCATCACCTGCCACCTCAGCCTACTTTTGGCCCATTCCGACAAGAACAAGATGGACTTCCGGAACCTTTGCATTTGCTTCCAGCCCTGCATGAAGATTGATGCTTTCTGCTTCAGATTCCTGGTTTGCGACTGGCGCGACTGCTGGAAGGGCTGCAAGAACGAGGCAAAGTTCATCGAGCAGGAGTATCAGCTTTTCGACCAACCTCCCCCGAAGGGCCTGTCAGAGCCACGTAAGCCATCCAAGGAGTCATCACAGGAACCAACACCGGAGGAGCCAACGATTACTTTGGAGAGAGCCGCAACACCATCTGACAACAGCAGCAAGCACTCAAACGCTAGTACCGAGCAACCGAAGGATCGGCGGCTAAAAAAAAAGCCCCTCCAACTCTCTGAGTCCAACGGCAGTGTCGCATCTAACTCGACCATGGCAACAACCCTGACGATTGACAGCGGCCGCGACGCGCCAAGAGGTTCAAGCGACTTGCGACCTCTGTCACCCATTAAGCCTCTCTCGCCCCTCGGTTTCTAAAGCATAACATAGAAACCATCAACAGTTTCTTTCAACCTCGAATACCCAGGCGGAACTCGTGTGCATATGGAGCAGTTGCATCAACATTACATTACCGACGACGACCTTACGCCGTTAACGACTTTCGTTTTCCCCTTCATGCGCTTCCATCCCGTCACTATCTTGATGCTGTGCGGGTGGTTGCAAAAATCTCCAGGTGACGGACCGCAGAGAGATTGCAGATTGGGTTCCGCTTCGTTTGCGACACAGCATCATGCTATTTGGTATACCCCAGGGCATTGAATCGTATCACAAAAGCCGTCGTTTTATTCCTTTAGGAAACTGCGTTGGGCTACTTTTGCATCAACGAACAGGATCCTCGCAACCCGAGCTGCCGTCTTGCGTTCGCGCTTCAGGCAGCTCAGATTTGGGTACCTAATTTCTTCTTTTCTGCACTTTTGTGAGGAGCTACGAATCTAGCGATGTTTGGTCTTTAGTAGCATAGCAGGACATGGGGATGAGGAGCATTCACGAAATGCTGGCTAGGTCGGGGGACAGGGACACAGCTCACGAATACGTATGACTGAGGAGGTTCGGTGGGATCTGTGTGCTACATAGAGGATTATATATGTAGCACGAGGTCAAGCGCGGCCAGACGAAGCCCGCGGTGGAAAATGAGGACCACAAGTTCACAATTCAAAGCACCAGTGCTCGGTCAAGGTTGATGTAATCAGAGCCAGAGATGTGGCTCGTGAAGCCGTTCCATTCCGTTTAAGAATCCGACGCCCAAGCATACAGACTGGATATGAATAACCACCGCCAATAAAACGCCAGTCCATGCCGAACCTAGAAGCATTACACAATTTTGGTCTCCATCTTTCTCTACCGCTTGCCAGCCGCCTCGCGCTGGTTCTTTCTCATTTTCCTCTCGTTGCGCTTGATCTTCTCCTTCCGTTCCCTACGCTTGTCGCCACGGATCGTCGTGCCCTCGGCTCGGTTCATCTCCTTCTCGGCATCGACCTCGACAACCCAGTCGTCCTCGCCCTTCTTGTTCAGACCCTTGTAACCCCACTTGCGGCGCCACTCCTGCGTGTCCTCGTCGAAGGCGAGGTTCTTGCGCTGCTCGCGCGTCTTGGGCTTGATGCCGCGCTTGGCGGCGAAGCGCTCCCACTTGGTCGGCTCCTTGGCCTTGGGGACGGGCTTCTCGCGCGGCAGGTCCGTCGAGGGGGGCGGGAGTGTCAGGAGGACGCCGTCGGAGGTGCTTTGGAGGGGGCAGGTGGTCAGGAGCTGGTTGATGAGGGCCTGGGCGCCATCGCGAGCTGTGGCGGCGAGGGATTCCTCAATGGCGGACTGGTCGAGCTCGAGGGGGTTGGGGTCGTTGGCGAGCAGCAGACCCAGGTCGAAGTTGTAGGGTGTGGGCTTGTTAACTGCGACGGGCAGCTTGGGGCGCGAAACGGGAAGCGCCATTTCGATGACCGGTGTCGCGTGCTTTTGGTTCGTGGTTTGGTTCGGAATGGCGACTTTCTGGGAGGTTTGGGGTGTGCAGATGTCTGGAGTTGTACGGCGTAACGGGGGAGCGTATCTGGGGCGCCTGCAGGTGGGATTATCCAGAACTTTTTTTCTGCCAGAAATTTTGGCGGCGAGCGATTAGATCGGATCAACTGCCACCGCACCGCCGACCAACAGCGCCCCGCCAATCAGCGCTGCAATTGGCTCAATGACCTACGAGCCCCGGAGGGGTGTGCATCTAACGAGCCCGAGAATTTACGAACTTTTTGGAGCTTGGGGAAAGACATCGCACGACGACGACCTACCAAAGGGGCGACTCGACGAGCTGCTTCGGACGGAACCGAACACCCGCGACTGTGCCAATCCGAATGGCCTGATAAAGATTCACCGGAAAACAGACACACGAGCAAGAAAACCGCCAGCCCCGGGCACCGAAACACCCACAATGGCCTCCGCCAACTGCGCGCGGTGCCTCACCCGGCCGACGACGGCCGCAGCAGTAGCAGCACCCCGGGTCCTCTCGCAGCGCATCGTCCCCGTCATCACCTCCTATGCGGCAGCCGCCCCCTCCGGCTCCGCCCTCTTCTCGACCACCTCCGCCCACGCAGCCGGCGGCGCCAACGCCTCGACCATGCGCAAGGTACAACACTGGGGAAAGCACATCCGTCGCGGCAAGATCAACCAGAACTCCAAGAAGAAGCGGGAGAACGTCAAGGTGAAGAAGCCCGCGCCGGGAGAGCGTAAGGCCTTCCGCAAGCGCATCACGCTCAGCAACAACAGCGCGCTGCTCGTCGAGGGCCTGAAGGTGGTTGACGGGACCACGATGTCTTCGGCCGATGCCCAGGGGACCATGGTCGGTCTGCCGGATCAGCTCGTCGACCAGCTGCGCACGCTCGAGGCGTTCAAGATCCACCAGCCCTGGGGCCTGTTCAGGAAACCGCACATGCTCGTGAGGGAGGAAACGGTGAAGCTGGTCAGCAGGGTCGACAAGGCCGTCCAGGAGAGGCAGACGTTGAGGACGGTATTGACGGGAGACAAAGTTGGAGGCAAGAGCATGTTATTGCTGCAGACTATGGCTCACGCTCTCATGAACAACTGGGTTGTCATTAACATCCCCGAAGGTATGCTCACTCACTTCACAAGCAGCATCATTACAACTAACCCACTCTCCAGCCCAAGACCTGACCAATTCCAACACGGACTACAGCCCCGTCCCCAACTCCAAGCCCCTCCAATTCTACCAGCCAACTTACTGCTTCAACCTCCTCCAGCAAATCATGAAGGCCAACGGGCCCGTACTCAAGAAGCACAAGATCACGAAGGAGTACCCGGAGCTCCTCCACGTCCCCAAGGACGGCACCCTCTACGACATCGCAAACGCCGCCAAGGAGACCGAGTTCGCCTGGCCCGCCTTCCAGGCCCTCTGGTCCGAGCTGACCACCGCCCCCGGCGGCCCCCCGGTCCTCCTCACCCTCGATGGCCTCTCCCACATCATGAAGATCTCCGCCTACCGCGACCCGGCCTTCAACCTCGTGCACGCCCACGATCTCACCCTCGTGCGCCTCTTCGTCGATGCCCTCAGCGGCAAGACGCCCCTCGCCAACGGCGGCGCCGTCATCGCCGCCACCAGCCGCAGCAACGCGCCCCGCTCCCCGTCCATGGAGCTCGCCCTCGCGCAGTCCGCCGCCGCCGCCGAGGGCCTGCACGTCCCCACGCCCGACCCGTACGGCAAGGGCTACGACGACCGCATCTACGAGTCCGTCCGCAACGTCGAGACGTTCAACGTCAGCGGCGTCAGCCGCGACGAGGCCCGCGCCGTGATGGAGTACTGGGCCGCCAGCGGCATGTATCGCTCGCGCGTTGACGCGGGTGCTGTCGGTGAGAAGTGGACTGTCGCTGGTGGTATCCTCGGCGAGTTGGAGCGGGCGAGCTTGCTCAACACGCGTATGCTGCAGTACTAAACGGATGGGACGATGGAATGAGAAGTGCGGGCGGGGGCAGGCAGTGTATACATGTATCAGTGCACCAAAGATGTGGGAGGTGTGAAAAAAGAAGAGCTTTTGTACTATACTACCATCATCTGAAGTTATGAGAATTTCCCAATCCACGTAAAAGGAGTGAGCTTTGCGACTATTTTGACATCACGATCATTGGGCGAGAAGAAGGACCGAGATGTATCGGGCATTTTTGATTCATTATATCTTCTTCATTCGAGTGGTTGGAAAAAGTCAGCCTCTCCGCCTCTCTGGTCACTTCATCCATGATAAACCCAACAACGCCAATCCCAAGGCGGCTTCAGTTTGCAAAGCCGTATATGACGAATAACATTTTTCAACGACACTACGCAACCCCGACAGCACCATCGCCCGCTGACATTTAGTCGTGCGTTCCTGCAGCCGTGATGAAGACCAATCTGGTGCCGTTGCCAGCCGTTTGCCACACCTATTTTCCGATGGGTTAGAGAATGTCTTTGAAGGAAAGAAAGATTGGGTTGTGGGTGAAAACTTACATCGAGCTCGTTGTACTCCTCCAGGGCAGCGAGCCACTGGTCCTCTGTGAATCCCTTGGCAATGACACGCTCCTTGACCTTGCGGAGAGACATCTCGGTGCCAAGCTCATCGTCTTCGTCGTCGGCATCGTCAGCGCGGCAGGCACCGCTGTCGGCCAGCGACTTGACCAGGTTGTAGATTCTGCTGCTCGCGTTGAGGCGCGAGCGTCCGGATTTGCTCTGCTCGGCGGCGAGACTCTCCTTGGAGGCCTCGATGAGGCGCAGCGCCTCGTCGACGTCGTCGTTGGTAACCTCGTTGGAGAAACGCAGACGGGCGAGGGCCTGGGCGAGACGGATGATACCGAGGAGGGTACGCGGCGTGGTATGGGTGAACTGCTGGCCCTTCTTCTCAGCACGACGCTGCTGCTCGCGCATACGAACGTACGTCTTGATGATGTACTCGTTGATGCCTTCCGTAACGACAGGGCGGTAGGTGCGAGCTTGAGCGACGTAGGAGCGGACCTCGTGCGGCGAGAAAACAACGGAGTCAGTGCCAATGTCCGGGTGCTTCATGTGCATGTGGACATAGGCGACGTGCTTGGCAAGCTGGGCGTCGGACTCGCGAGATGGGGTATCAAGAAGCAAGAACATGATATCGAAACGAGAGAGGAGAGCGGCGGGGAGGTTGATGTTCTCGACCGGGGAGATGCGAGGGTTGTAGCGGCCGTAGATGGGGTTAGCGGCGGCAAGGATGGAAGTGCGGGCGTTGAGAGTGGTGGAAATGCCAGCCTTGGAGATGGAGATGGTCTGCTGTTCCATGACCTCATGGATGGCTGTACGGTCGTTCTCGTCCATTTTGTCGAATTCATCGATACAGCAGATGCCATTGTCAGCGAGGACGAGAGCACCACCCTCAAGAACCATCTCATCGGTTACAGGATCGCGCATGACGGCAGCCGTCAGACCGACACCACTGGAACCGCGACCGGAGGTGTAGACACCACGGGGAGCGACCTTTGAGATGTACTTGAGCAGCTGGGACTTGGCCACACCAGGGTCACCCATCAAGCAGATGTTAATGTCACCACGAATCTTCATGCCATCCTCAGCTTGCTTCAAAGGGGCTCCAATGAGAAGCAGGAGAAGTGCCTTCTTGACATCGAGGTGTCCATAGATTTCGGGGGCAATGGACTTTGCAAGAAGCTCGTAGACTTGGCCGGATTGCCTGTACTGGTCGATACGACGAACAAGCTTGGCGTCGACGATCATTTCGGAGTAGGCCTTCTTGTGCTGGACGATGTGATGCGCCTCCAGGAAGGTATCGGTAAGAAGACCGGCCCTCATAGCCTTGAAACCAGTGTAAGGGGTGGGCAGGAAGATACCCGAAATATCGACAGCATCGCCTGGGTTGACCTTGCGCACTGAGGTACCGTAACACAGAACAGTCAAGGTACGAGGAATCTGACCGATGGGAACCTGCTCCGCAAGCTCCTGGACCTTGACCTCTTGGAAGGGCAAGAACTTGGAGGCTCTCGTAGAAGGGTGAAGCTGACCCTTGGCCTGGTTCATCTCGCAATCCTTGGAGGGGCATACGGTCAAGGGACCGAATGACTTCTCGTTGACGGGCTGGAAGATTTCGCAGCCGCAACGGTCACAGGTGTAGGCGCTGACCTGCACAATGGGCTTGACGTCTGAAACTCTGGTGGCAATTGCGCGGACGGTAATCAAGTGGCCAAGCTGGTCACCCTTGACGTTGCGCACGGCATAGGCCTTCGCTGGGTGGTCAGGGGAATCGGATCGAGGCTTGAAGACGAGGGTATATCGGCGAGTGAGCTCGGCGGGAAACTTGTCCTCGGCGACGGTAGGGTCGGGGAGCTGGCCATCTGTAGGCTCAGTAGCTTGACGCTGCAGTTGCTCGTTTCTCCTTTGTCTTCGCTCCATCAAAACATCCAAAACGTCATCCTTGAAGCTTTTTGCCGTTAGTGTTGAGCACTTCCAAAGGGTTGCAAGTTGGCATACGTTGTGTCGGCGCTGGGCTTGGGCATAAGCTTGTCCACCGCTCTTGACATCAATTCGACGTAGTGCTTGGTGTTGGTCTCGATAGACTCCACCAAATGGAGCTCGTCGCCGATTTGTGATTCAAACTAGAGTTGTCGTCAGTCCTAAGTCTCATGCCAAACACGTTCCTCGGGTTTGCCCACAGCTGCGATGTCGTCCAGATCGACCAAAACCTCATCAATCTGGCGGTCTGCAAGCTTCTGCATCATGGCCTGGTATTTGTGCGCGGGCGGGGTCTTGTCCCGGCGGCGAGTCTGGCGGGCACCATCGTCCTCCATCAATTCATCGTCGTCGCTAAAGTCATCTTCGTCTATCGTAATGTTGCCGAGGGCATGTGCGATGGTCTGCTCAGGCGACGCCTTGAAGTCTTTGAGGAAGGATTCGAGAGCGGCTAGGCGCGAGTTAGGATTGTCTTGCGACAGCGGTGTGGGATCGAGTTGGCAGGTCTGGCTTACTCTGCTGCGCTTCATACGCTACCGGCGCCTTGAATTGACGAAGCGCCATCTTGACAGAATTTGCGGGGTCTCGACTGCAGAATTGTCTCTCGGAAGCTCAATGACCTAGTCTGACAGACGCAGGTGCAGTTGTGAAAGGGGTATAATTCGTCTTTGCGACGGCAGCGGGGAGTGGTCTCGGGCTCGGTTCTGTTCTGCTGCTATCGAATTGAAGTTTGGCGCCGGGTGGGGGCTGGAAGAAGAATCGACGGGACCTGATCAATGCGCCAGGGGGGAAGACATTGACCGGGAGACCAAACCACGAAATTACGCGACATCCAGACGCGAGCGTGTCAGACACGCGTTAATTGAATTTTGGTGCCAGCCACAATGTGGCGTGGATTCTTTTCCCCAAAAGCCAGGGGGGTCCGGAAAAGATACGTATAGGACTCCTGCAGCTACCCCGTCGTCGGGCCCAATGGGGTGGAGGTCCCTTCCATGCCGGGAATGCCTCGGCGTCGGCACATGCCTGGGCCAGTCTCGGTTCATCTCTCATTTCCAGCTCCAATAGCTAGCTTCTCCAGACTCCATCTACGTCTAGAGCGAACCACGCCCCGCGAATCTATCTTGCTCTCTGCTAAGAGCGTGCCACTCTTTTGTTTTGTACAACCTCATGGATTGCTGATCAGTCAATTGCTGTCATGGCTCCACGGCGGAACGCGCAATCGACTCCGGCGGAGATCTCTCTCTCCCCCCAGCTCAAGAGCTGCCTGGTCAACCTCCCCGCATCGTTGGTCTCGCTCCTCGTCAACGTCAACACCGTAAGTAATGCCAATGCTTTCTGCAATAGAGTTCGAGTTGACAATCGCGCAATAGCCCGCGCAAAATGTCGTCGTGGAACTCAATTACCGACCTTCCTCCGCGAGCGTCTCCGGGGCCGGCGCATCACAACAACGGTCCGTCTTCGTGGGCTGGACCGGCATGCCGAGTAAGCGCAAAGTCGCCCCCATAGTCGGACGAGACGGTATCAATGGTGGCAGGAGTGGTGGACGCGAGCAAGAAGTGGCCCAGGTTGAGATTGATGCCACGCTCGCCAACACTTTGGGACTCTCGGATGGGCAGAAGGTGACAGCCTCTATACACGTCGATCCTCCGGTTGCGCACACCATCAACATTGAGCCGCTCACGCCGGAAGACTGGGAGATGATTGAGCTCAACGCGAACTTCCTCGAACTTAACCTGCAATACCAAGTCCGTGCCTTACCGAACCCCGCCTTCCTCTCGAGCACCGGTACCATCGTCCAGCCGCACCCCGTCACGCTGCATCTGTCACCAACTTCTACAGCCAACATCAAGGTCGTTTCGCTCGATCCCTCGCCACCAACCGATTTTCCATTCGCAAAGATCTCACCGAACGCCGAAGTCATTGTAGCGCCAAAGACCCGAGCTAAGACGTCGCATTCGTTGGGAGAGAACCGCAGCGTGGCCAGCACATCCAAATCGAAGCGAAGCGGCGCGAGCACAGTCCGTCGTCGAAGTGCACGAGAGGAGCGAAAGCCTTCGTTGTGTCTCCGAGGTGTAGATCAGACGGCATGCGTGGAGTGGTTTGACGAGGACATCACGATTCAAGACTTCAGTGTTTGGGTCGACCGCGACATTCTCTATACCAAGGACTTCCGAGGTGTAAACTACGTTTCGGTCAATATACTGCGTCCAACCCCTCAACCCAGCACTAACCCGCAAAAGCCGCAGCAGGACGCTGAAGCAGCGTCCAATGCGTCCAAGATCTCGACTAAGGTCATCGCTCATTTGCGGGCTTGGGATGATCCTCCTGATAGCAAAACAATCGCGCTATCTTCGCCTTTGTGCTCAACTTTGGGCTTCACAGGCGCTGTAGGCGGCATTATCAAAATTGAGCCAGCGCCTCAGCAATGGCCACTAGATGCCGTTCAGAGGCTGATCATCCACCCATTTGCAGCCT